TTTTGTCATCGTTATCCAATTCTTCGAGCCTCTGTTTGTATGGTACGTCTGCTAGTAAGGAAATTCAATCCAGTGCAAGATAACCTCAAGCAATTTTTATACTGACTCCATGGAGCAGAATCCTTCTTCAGGAACTAATAGTCGCTCAGTAGCTTTGAGTCTCTGATTATCTAGAATGTTTATTAGTAATTTAACACAGTTAATAAGTATTACATGTAATTCTTGTAGCAACTAACACCATGGAGCAGCCCTTTTTGATCTATTGTGCGTTCCCTTATAATCTTCTACCAGCCTTTATACCCTACCGGTACTGGAGCTTACCATCAGTCCCTACTCAGCCAGCGAGGTCGGCCTCTACCGGCTCAGAGGTGTCTCGATGCTTCCCCCATCTACCAGAGGCGTTATAGACTACTGTTGGGCGGGAAATGTCCTTAATTCGGCTCAGTGGCCTCCTTCGGAGACATGAGGTTCTTTTACGTGCCGTAAAGCTACAACACGGGACCCACGTCTTAAAGTCCCTCCCGGAGGACTTGTTCCCTGAATTTTTCCGCCCTTAAAAATTCCACGACCTCCGCCGGGTTTGAACCCGCATACTTTGAGTCGTGAGGTGGGAACGTTACCCCTAAGTAAGTTTATTACTGTGTTCACAAATGATGTCACTGGTCCCTATTCTGAGAGTAATTTTTATACTCACTGCATGTAACATCTGAAGGTAAGTGCAGACAATCAATGTTTTGAGAACAAAATAAATTAGATGTATGTTTAATTTATTCTGCAAGGAAGTAAGCAAAAAGTATGGACAATGACAGATACCGTAATAAGAGGATAACACATACATCAGCAACTATCAGATCTGAGGCTCTCACAGTGGTGAATATTAGGATTACAGTCTCCTGAGATATGGTAGACAGGTACCCACGTTTTGGAGGAACATAATATACATGTATATATATATATACACACATACCAGACTATACAGCATGGGAGCCAGCAGGAGGACGCAAGAAAACCCAAGCATCTCCCCGAGGATTTTGAAAAAAAGTAAAATAAAAACAAAAATTATTCTTTTAAATTTTAGAAATATTTATACACATTCTGCATAATTTGTGTGAAAACTAAAAGAGAGATAATAGGCAGGATTTAAGGTGGATTTTAAGGCAATAGAAGTGGAATAGACTGGATTTATTTCACTCAGACAGTGGTAAGTGGCCAGTTCTTGTGAACATGGTAATGGAAATCTGTGTTTCGTGAAATGTAAGAAATCCTTAAAGTATCTGAGCAGCTATTAGTCTCTCCAGAACAACTCTGTTCCATGAAGTTGGTTCAGTGAAATCATGATTACACAATGTCTTTCAAAGGACATAATGTATAGAAGTAAATCAGAGCAAAGTAAGTTCAGGGTCACCAGGTATGATGTCAGTAACTGCTGCTATTTCCTATTAAAATTCGAACTGGCTTGCAAGGAAAAGCTGTTCCTGTAACAGGTCATAAAGGCCCATAGGGTTGTGGGTCGTCGAGGCTCCCAC